CATTGAGGAATTACTTATCAGCTACTGTTTCATAATTGATCAGCAGTTATCCTTGACACTTTTATCGCGGGAGCTGTCTTTAATGGAGTAGATGTGTTTAAAGTAAGATAGTGTAAGCTCATCTGGGGAAGGACTGACATTTCTACCTTGAGGTACAGTGTGTGAGAATCTGGAAGATTAGTGAACATGTTGGTAAAGTCTGCTGAAAAGAGTTTCATATTGTCCATACGTAAATTCTGGAGTTGTTCACTAATGTTGATGTTATTGATCGCCCAATATCCTATGTATTGAGTATTTCTGCAGTGAGTATTTTTGTGAGTTTATGGACAAAGGTTTGGGACTACTTGTTCCTAGCTCCCGTTATAAACCGAAATTTCACTGGGAGATTTATGTAATTTAGGTATTGCGTATATTATAGGTACATTCATATGTGCCATGTTTTTGATGTTGTTGTGCGTATTGAATACTCTATGTTTATCAATTATATTATCTGTACTCGTGTTGTCTATATAGACGTATGTATTGTTAGAATTCTCAATAATTAATTGTGAGTTGTTGTAGTGTTTAATTCCCATTTCATTCATGATGCTACAAATATATAGTTTCTTGCAAATGATACCATAGTTATTGTTTGCTTTATCCAGTGGGCAAAATATGAAAATCCCTTGTAGTTTTCTTATATCTTTAATAAGATGTTCATACGAGACATTTCTGTCCATGCTCAACCAATATGAGAATAGTTTCGTTTAAGTGTCTTATGTATTTTAAATTCAACATTAATGTATATTTTTCCTAATGTCGAATTCTGACTTTGCATCTATTTTTTATGACATTTTGTATAGTTACTGGTCGTTTCTTCAATCCAATTTCAATACTGTTCTTTTGGTTACCTGTGTAGGGACTCTGTATTTACATCCTTTGTCTAGAAGCTTTTTTACGTCATTATTATGAATGACTTCAGTATTCCCTGTTATTATGTGTCTATGGTACTTGTCTATAAATTTGCAGTAGTTATCCTTTTCACATATACATTTTGAGTTGAGTATTCTGTTCACATCGCTGACTGTGATATGTAGAGGCGAAAGCAATAAAAACCAAGGAGGAATAGAAATTTAAGCGCACTGCCCTGTAAAGAAGAAATTGTCTAGCTGACCGAATAGGGAACATTGGGGAAGTTCTCATTCCAATAAAATTCAATGCAATAACCAGAAGCCGTCACTTATTTGCCAATCCAATCCTAAGACACTTTAATTTTGTCGCGAGAATGCCGAATTATGTGCAAAAGGCATGCCCCTGCATGAGACCCAAACCCGCATCTCACGCATTATTGGGAGAGTGCGCTACCCAAGCCATCAAATCCGCATTTACTCACACATTGAAGCAGCTGCGAATGCTCTTTGTAGTTCTGTCTTTCCCTAAAGATGGTGCAATATAGGGCAGGAAAAGTGATTCCGCTTTCATTATTTTTAAGCACATTCGGGAGAGAAGAGTACTTTCATTTCTATCTAACCAAGGACTTTGAACGTTCGATGTACGGAAAGAATCTGAAAACTCCTCGATGGAAGGTGTGCACATCTAAAACTATGAGAAGCATGGATTACGCTGCCAGTGCCATTTATGTCAGCAAATTTTTCGACAAGGTATTTCTGTGATAGTGCAAAATCTCGTCGAATTCATGTTATGCTGTGATATTGGTGTAGGCATCAAAGCACTCAAGCGTTGGATATGGCGAACGATATGAAAGAAGCGTTCCACGGAATGCTTGTCGAAGAAGACTGGATGGACAATGCTACAAAAAAGGTTTTCTTTGCGAAACGAAATTTTTTTTTCTCATTATACAAGCCTTGCTTTCTAATCGCATCCTCTGAAGATCTTGAAGGCATCTTCTGAAGAGCTGAGGAGGGTAAAACTAGATATTTGGGTAGTGATCGTCACGGTCAAGAAACCGTTTTTTTTTCTCAAGTCACAAACACGATCGACGAAGGGAAAAGACAGTAATGGCTCCAATTTCCAAGAGTCTCACATGGGCGACATCAACAGGTTTACTTAGAGCAAGTGGTATGTGTGGTTAAGAAACAGGCATCTGCAGCCAAGTGTTCATTTTCATTACAATTTTCATCACTGTCAGCAGAAAGTGACGCTTGCCTCTTCTTCTCCACAATTTTTGAACTTCTTCGGTAATTCGAGAGCTGAGATAAAGA